GCTTTTCTGCCGCTCACTGCACAGAACAGACGCAGAGAGAGACGACACTGCGCCGGGAAAGTCAGACCTCGCGCTCGCGGGGCAGCACTGGCGAATCTTCCAACTGAATCATAGCTAAGATTTATCCAAAAAAGTCTCTAGGTTTGTCAGTATATATATTCTATGGGAAAAAGCCGCTAAAAGGGTCTGAAAGTTGCTAAATCTAGTGCTAAAGTCGCGCTCGTGTGTGTGTGAGACGCGGGAGCTGATGGCAGGGTGCGGTGGATATTTGTGGCGGTCAATGTGGATATTGTGGATGAGTTCTTCTGTCATCACGTTCTATTAGTTCTACAGCTTCAGTTTCGGAACTTTCACGCTTAGTAACACATACAGCTGTTCCCTCACCACAGTGCAACAGTGAAAAGAGACCCCCCCTCAAACGCGTTTCGAACATTATTTAAACGAAACCGGCATTGCGGTATTTTAAAAATTCATATCATAAGGAAAATAAACACCGGTATTCGGTATGAACCGGTATACCGCCCAGCACTACCTTGAATAGAAGTCTGCTGTGTAGGAGTTTTCTGCATTGTGATGATAGGGTTGCTTTTGGAGGGTAGAGATAACATTCTCATGTCAGAGGGGTCAGGTGATTGTGTATTGTCTTCTCTTCTTGTTACAGGGAAGGTCTCTTGGTCAGGGGTCATGAGTCTTGACATGGTTAAAATGATACATTACGTAGGTCACGGCATTGTGTTGTGGGATGATTTATAGCAACATAGCTTACTGATGTAGATGGTCTTCTGGCACAATGATTGGTCTAATGGGATATGCAGAGAGTGACACTGTTGAAATTATGGTGACACACCTTAGAGAGGTTGGTATTGGTCTAAATCTAACAAAAGGAATCAAAGGAGGTGTATTGATTAGGGTTGTGTGTGGACCCAGTAATTGATTCCTAGCTATGTTGAAATCGAAATACACCATTTTTACAGCATGCTTATAGCCACGCTCTTCTGTTATGAGAAGCAAAGCATTGATGACTGGATTGCTGACTGACTGGTTCAAGCGAACATTTGCAAACAGGTGGTTGGAGCTACAGCTCTCGACCTGTGGTTAGGGTAAGGGAACTTATGATGTAAGAGGAAACCTGTTACGAATCAAACTTCAAATTAAGCAAAATGTCAGGGAACAAAAAATAGTGAAGTAGTCATTTTTGTTGCAGCAACATCTCAAAATCTTTAATCAATTAAGTCGAAGTTTTATTACTCCACCACCTTCATGTGACGTCTTCAATGACATTCCTATGTTTTTTAACCAATGTGGTTCATTGACAATATTACTACCATTTCGGAAAACAGTCATGACTAGCTGGTTAGTTTCTCCAACGATGCATCATACTTTGGTAGGAGTTAATCAGCGATAGGGATGTAACGATATGAAAATTTCTTATCACGATTATAGTGACCAAAATTATCACGGTTATCAGTATTATCACGGTATTGTTAAAATGTGCTGGAGATGTTCAAAAAGTACAGACACATAAATCACTTCACCAAGTTTT